GACCTCAGCACCCCGTCCCACCAGCCCTGTCACCCCCACCTCCCCACTCTGAACACTGAGCAGTTAAAGGAGTGTGCAGGGCTGACACTCATGCGCATCCATCCACAGCAAACTGGTTTATTGAATGGGAGCCGGAGCAGGGACAGTCTGGAGCCCCCATTCTCATGGAGGGAAAGCGAATAAACCAGTAAAGCACCCAGCCTGTCAGGGTGGAAGTGCGCCGCACAAGGACAAGTGTCGGGTGGGAGGGGCCTGCCTAGGGTGAGGGCCCAGGGGCTGCTGGTCTCACTGTAGGAGCTGGATGCGTGCTGGCCCCCTGGCACTGGAGGGAATCGATGAGCCGGCCAGGGGATAGGAGGGCCACCCAGCCACAGTCTGAGGCAAACCAGGGTCTCTGGTCCCAGTGTTCCCATCCTGTCACGCCCATCAAGCAATTCCTGGCCAGCCAGCACCACTGCTGGTCCCTGGGGTCCAGAGCTGAAACCGGGCAGTCTCTGCCCCAAGCCCCCAGGGAGGCTGAGCACACAGCCTGGTGGAGCTATGCCAGAGGGGATCCCAGGTACCCTCTGGCATGGGAGCCGGAGGGGTGGCTGCCCTTACTGACTGGGCCCTGTGTGGTGCTGCAAAACGTTGGGGGTACCCAGCGTTGCTTAGAGGCATACCCCCAGAATACTAGGCCTGCACAGGGGTGTTTCCCAAAGTGTGACCAGGAATCCCCTGTTGTAAACACCTCGGCAGTGCAAGACCAGAAGATAACACCACACCGTCCATCATCAAACAGGGTGGGTGGGAGGGGGAATGGCAAATTACTGGGTCTCCCAGTGCCTCCCTTTGCTCCTCTGTCAGGAGGGGGTGGGACCCAGTGTCGGAAGAGCCTCTGGCTCAGTAAACAAGGTGAAATGAAGATAGGAATGGAACTATTCTGCCCGGTTTTCACCCCAAAAATACATTAATGGTTGACTATAAAAATCGCCTCTCACCCACCCCACCGGGACATTGGGCCCAGGCCTTTGGGAAGCCACTGTCCGTGGGTGAGAGAAGGGCATCCGGAGGAACTTGCTATAGAACCACTGGTACTGGCTCCCTTCCAAGCCCTTGGGCAAGCTCAAGCTTCAAGGGTGATGTGCTCTTGTCAATGTTCCAGAAGCTGTTAGAACTCCCTCCGCCTCTTGCTTGGCCGTAGGGTGCTCGAAAGTGCAAGTTCCTGGGTCCCCGCCAACTGCCCTGCAGGCTGGCAGGTGGCCATCCACTCAGCCCTCCTAGCCCGAAGCCAGACTGGGCCCCGAGTTCAACGGGGACCCCTCTCGTCCTGGGAGCGTGCCGGGCCCCGGGCGGGAGGCACGCCTGGCTGGGCCCGCAGGCAGTCGAGCAGGCCCGCGCGCCAGGCTGGGGACAGACCCGGCTCGCTGGTCTGGCGGTGGGTGGAGGAGCCGCGGCGGCGGCGGCTGCTGCCCGGGCCGCCCAGCTCGCTGTCGTCCACGAGCACGCTCTCGAGCACGGCGCGCAGCGAGCGCCGCAGCTTGTGCAGCACGTCGGGGCAGGTGAGCACGTAGAGCACCGGGTTGACCACGCCGTTGATGAAGGCCAGGCTGGTGACGAAGGGCAGGGCGCGCCACACAAGCGGCCGCAGCGTCACGTCGGCGTGCGCGCGAGCCTCCAGCATGCTGAAGATGTGGTAGGGTCCCCAGCAGAGCACGAAGGCCACCACCACGGCGGCCACCAGGCTCACGAAGCGGCTGGGCCGACGGTGGCCGCGGTGGTGCAGCTGCAGGCTCACGGCCACGTGGCTCGAGGCGATGACGGCCAGGGGCAGCAGGAAGGCCAGCAGGAACTTGCTGACGGCCAGGCCCGTCTGGCGCAAGTAGCAGGTGGCCTCGCGGTCAGGCCCCGGGCTTAGGAGCAGCACGTTGTAGTAGCACATGATGCGCCCGTCCCGCCGCCGCATGGTGTCCCGGAACACGAAGTAGGGCACAGTGTTGATCAGGGCCAGGACCCAGATCCCCAGACAGACCTTGTGGGCCGCGGCCACAGAGCGGTGGTTCTGCGCCCATACGGGCCGCACCACCTGCAGGCAGCGGTCCAGGCTGATGGCGCTGAGCAGGAAGCCGCTGGCGAACATGTTGAGGAAGAAGATGGAGGAGTGGAACTTACAGAAGGTGGTGCCCAGCTCCCACGAGTGGCCCACGGCCAAGAAGTAGGTGAAGAAGGGCAGGGAGGCGGTGGCCAGCAGGTCAGACAGCGCCAGGTGCAGCACCCACGTGGTGACCACGGTCTGGCGCATGCGGCAGCCCACCACGAAGAGGATGAGCGCGTTCAGGGCCATGCCCAGCAGGCTGGCCAGGCCGTGCAGCAGCACCGACGCGTAGTCGATGTAGAGGGTGCTGGTGTTACTGTGTCTCTGAAGCTGACTCATGTGCTCCAGGACCGGGCAGAGCAGCTGCGTGGTGTTGGTCGCCATGACAGGAGTCCTCTGCAGGGAGAAAGAGGCACTGAGGCAGGCTGTGCTGGGGAACCGAGGGAATGGGAGCTGAGCACCCCCACAGTGCCCCAAGCCGGGGCAGAGGAGGCTGCAGGGGAGCAGTGAGCAAGGCTGCGGCTAGAGCACTTGAGTGGGGACAGTGACATCTCATCAGCATTTAACCTCCTTGATCCTGCCTCTGTCTGTAGCATGTGTTAAATCATAGCAGTACCCAGCTCGTTAGGGCTCGTGAGAGAATTCAATGAGTTAACATATACAAGGGTAAGAGCACAACGTATATGTAGCTCTGTGTGTGTATCTATAAGCGTAGCTAAAGCAATAAAGTCATAAAGCCCTTCATGAAACAAAAATATTAAAATGTGAAGCTATTGTTTCTCCACACAGCCTCCATAGGTCATTAGTTCCCATACTTACTGGGCCTACCACTCCCTTGTCAGGAAGAGAAAAAAAAATTACTCAACGTGGCTGCCCCCCTCCCCCCACCCTCACCCCAGCATTTAAAAGCTTTTGTTACTTTAGCCCCTATGGTGCTGAGTGGGCAATCTCACTGCCGCCCCTTTTGACTCATAGTGATCCTATGGAGCAGCCACAGTGGCCCTGTGGGTTTCCAAGACTGGAAATATTTATGGGAGTAGACAGCCTCATCTTTCTCCCTTCCGATGGGCAGGTGGTTTTGAACTGCCGATCTCGTGCTGAGCAGCCCAACGGAGAGCCCACTACGCCACCAGAGCTCCCAGGACAAAGTGCCGGTGTGTCTGCTTTTGCAGCTCCTCTGGATCATGCCAGCACCCACTTTTGGAGACACCAGTCTGGGTCTAACCACTGCTGGCAGTGGTGTTTCCATCTCTAGCCCAGTGGTTCTCAACCTTCCTAAGGCCACCTCCCTTTCATACAGTTCCTCATGTGTTAGTTAACCCCCAACCATAAAATTATTTTCATTGCTACTTCATCACTGCCATTTTGCTACTGTGATGAATCGAGCGACCCCTGTGAAAGGGTCTTTGACACCCCCCCCAAAGGAGTCGTGACTCACAGTTTGAGAACAACTGCTCTAGCACTTCCCAGAAGAAGTCCACACTCCTCCGTTCACCCCCGTTCCAACTTGGCAGCGTGGGGCTTCCTCGGAGCACTCCCGGCATGCACCTTGGCGACGTTCTTTGAGTTTGGGGAAGGATCGCTGCTGTGAGTCAGAATAGGCTCGACGGCAGCGAGCTTGGCTTTCGACTTGAAGGGGGAGAGACCAGAGCTGGAGGGCCAGGGAGGTAAGGCTTGCCAATTCGCAGAAGGCAGCCCTTGCGATTCACAAAGAATGAGCAGGGGCATTGTTGCAGTGAGGGGAAAGAATGTTCCACAGCACAACTTGGTCTTCCCAGTGCACTTTTCCATCTCCTTAAACACTGTAATAACCCCTGCTATCATACGGTGTCCTTCAAGAAAACCTAGCAAGGTAAATTCCCTCGGCGTGCAAAAAAAACCAAACACAAACATCGCTTTCTGAGCTGACCTCTCTGCCTTGAACTTCACTGGCCCCACAGATCCCTATGGAAGCCACTGTTTTGCTTGGACCTTGCTCTTTGGGTCGTATTGGTTCTGGCACACACCAAGCTGAGAGCCTGCCACGTGAGAACCCAATTTCAGCCACTATTGTGTCAGGGCTAATTCCACGGACTTCCACCAGTCTCTGTACGTGACTGACGTGAGCCATCGTGTCTTTGTTCATCTCGGTTGGCGGTCTTCCATCGCCCATCTCATCTTTCAGGGCTTCCCGACCTTCCATGACACACTGGGTCCACCTACGAACTGTTTTCCACGGGGCCACATCCCCCATAGACTTGTTGCAACGCTTCAGTGCCGGGAGGATGTGCAGCTAAGTCTGGTAAGAATTTGAGATTAGCCCTGACCTGGGACCAAGGCACGTATATCACAGAGCAAACCTCTCTGCAGATAAGAACTGTAGCAGTCCTTTTTTTTTTTTTTTTAACCCTCATGTAAAGCATTTAGAACAGAACCTGGCACATGTTAAGCGATAAAACCTAACCCACTTGCCCATGTATGTCCAATGGGCAATGGTTTGGCTTCTTCCTCGGCAGCCCAGCACCAGGCACTACCAAAAGAGGAGACAAACAAATCTGTCTTGGAAGAAGTACAACCAGAATGCTCCTTAGAAACAAGGCTGGCGTGCCTGTTGTCAGGAGAGACCAGTCCCTGGGAAAGTGGAGGGGCAGTGAAAAAGAGGAGGGCCCTCAAGGAGATGGATGGACACGGTGGCTGCCACAGTGGCCTCAGACACAGCAGGGACCGGGCAGCATTTCCGTTCTGCTGCGAGTAGAGTCGCTACGAGTTCAAACTGGCAGGACAGCACCCAGTGCCACAGCACGGGGCTGTGCTCCTGAGGGTCTTCTTGGAAGCAGATCAAGGGCTTTTCTTTCACTTCCTCGGGACCACTGGGTGCGTTCGAACCACCAACCTAGATGCTATCTGCTGTTCAGTGCTGTCGAGTCGGTTCAGACCCCTGGCTGCCCCCCACCGCCCACTAGAACTTCCCCCATCTGGTTTTCTTGGCTGTACTCTTCCCAGGAGCAGGGCATCAGGCTGAGTGTGGACAGCCAGCCTTTGAGTTAGCAGCCCAGCGCTTTAACCACGCACCACCGGAGCACATCCTAGTCTAGTCCCGTGCGCTGACAGTCCGTGAGGCAGACGGGACAGCCTGCACAGGGGGAGCTGGGGAGGAGAACAGCCGGCAGGACCCCTGGCCCCAATAGCTGGAGCCCTGCAGGATGAGCAAGGTTCACGAGGAGGGACAGGGAGGAGATGGTGGGGGGGCGGGAATTCTGTGCCTCTTGGAATGCCACCCTGACCCCCAGACCTTGCCTCTGCAGCTCCTCCGTGCAGCCTCTGGCTCCCGGGGTGCTGTCTAGTTCGATGTGTTGACTATGCACACCCAAGCTGGCTCCTCTGATAGTCGGAGAGGAAATGAGATAAGAACTGAGCTAGGGCTAGGCAGCAGAAGTGCCATGTCAGGGCTCTGGCAGCGAGTAGGGACAAAAGGTCTCTGTCCCCAGGCCAACAGTAGCCAGAGCCATTCTGCCGCCCAGCTGACACGGGGCCCGGAAGCCCACTGGTGCTCATCTGTGTAGCCACTCACTCATTCCAAATAGATGCTTGTTGAGGTGTTACTCCCGGATGGGTGCTGGGGAAACGAGCCTCTGGCCGCTGCAAAGACCTCCCCACCCCAGACATGCCTGGCCACAGGCTCAACACCCAACCCCTGCCTACCGCGAGAGACCTGTTGGCTTGAAGCGGCTTGAGACCCCTGAGGGCTGAGGCAATCAGGTGAGGACTCCGTGCAGGAGGTAGAGGACAGATGGCCAAGCCGGGACCTCAGGTTGTTCTGGTCATCCCAGGGACTGTGGTTGGCTCGCCCTCTTTCTCTTGGCTCCGGAGGGAAGATGCTAGTACTACTCTCTCCCCCCATTTTACAGACAGAGAAACTGATAGCCAAGAGTAAGTGACTCAGAGCTCTCAAACAAAGCGAGCCCATGGAAGAGCTCAGGAGCACTCAGCCCGGGCTCTTCCCTCGGGAGGATGGAGGAGAGGAGGGGAAGAGAGAGAGGAAGGGGAGAGAGAGGGGAGAAGTGGAAAGGACGGGCGGGCTCCAGCCTGTATGCTGTTCCAGGGCAGAGTAGAGCCTCTGCCTTCCACAGTCTTCGCTGAGTGGACTTCTGAAACATCCGATCAGAATGTTCCTGGCC